AAAGGTCGTATTGTTGAGCAACGTTTGCAAATCATAAAATTTTATTATCAAAATTAGTGCTCCGTTCGAGAAACGTTCCGCGCATTACGTGATTTTTATCCTCACCACAACCTGCCACGTCCTGCCGAACTATTCGACGTTTGGTGGCCAAATTCGAGTCAACCGGTTCGATAAATAATCAGCCAACACCAGTACGTCGCCGAAACGCAAGTCTGCTGAAAACATCGCTGCTGTGCGTGAGAGTGTACGGGAAAACCCGAGGCGTTCACATGAACTTGGCTTTTCTGCGACTTCAACTTGGCGAATTTTGCGTCGGGACTTAAGTCTGCATCCCTATAAAATTCAACTGATCCAGGAACTTAAGATAAACGACCATACACAACGCCGTGTGTTCGCTGATTGGGTTCTGGAGCAGTTGGAAGTTAACCCAAATTTCGCCAAACAAATCATCTTTAGCGATGAGGCCCATTTTTGGATGAATGGATATGTGAACAAGCAAAATTGTCGAATTTGGGACGATACCAATCCACGCGAGATACACCAGCTCCGAATGCATCCCGAGAAAGTCACTGTTTGGTGCGGATTTTGGTCTGGAGGAATCATCGGTCCGTACGTCTTCCAAAACGAAGCGGGCATGACCATAATCATTAACGGCGAGCCCTATAGATCGATGATAAGCTTCTTGTGGCCTAAAATGGATGATATGGATACCGATAACATGTGATTCCAACAGGATGGCGCTACGTGCCACACACCGCACAATGGACATTCTGCACGAGCTATTTGAGGGCATGGTTATCTCGCGCGGAGACGTGAACTGGCCACCGAGATCGTGCGATTTAACGCCTTTAGACTTCTTCCTTTGAGGCTATCTTAAATCGCAGGTCTATACGAATAAACCGCAAACAATTGATGCTCTCAAAGTCAACATAATAAACGCCATCCAGCAAATTCAGTCAGATTTATGCGAGAAAGTCATCGAAAATTGGACCGCCCAAATACGTGTCACCAAGCGAAGCCGCGGCGGACATTCCATACTTAATGCCATAAAATATTCTTTCAAATAAAAAAAAAAATTGAGTGAATATCTCACACACAACTTGTTTTATTTACATTTAAAAATCGAGCATCCTTATTGAAAGACCCTTTGTGTGTGCGTGTGTGTGTGTGCGTGTGCGTGCGTGCGTGCGTGTGTGCGTGCGTGTGTGTGTGTGTGTATTCGGTATTTCTCATCCCACATAAATTCCTTCTTTTTAAATAAATGATAATATTACCTTTTCATTGTTCCTAATTTGTATCTTTTCCATTTTGTTTGTTGATATGCCAACCAATGACGTTACATTCCTTGACTTTTATGTATTTTTACTTTGCTGTGTGTGGACTCAACTCTTTCTCGTCTTTCAATGAAGAGATGTTACGACATCACATCTTATCACTGAATATTATTGTCTTGTAATGTAATCTGTAACGGAGAAAGTGTTTTATTATTTTCATATTTCTTAATTCTTTAATACACATCTCTCTTTATTCATTGTTTGATCATTTATATTACTTCATTTTTGTAATCATTTAACGCTTTTTTGTTATTTTTAATTTTATCTTTATTTTATTTCTAATTTTTTAAAAATTTTCTTAAGCGATATAGTCACAGTAGCAGACCTAAAAACAGCAATAAATTGAACATTTTTAGTATAAAAAATAATAAGATCAAATGAAAGGACTAGTTAGTGCATATATTAAAATATTGGGAGTATAAATTAGTTCGGTCGTTTCCAGAAAGATGGCTCCAGCTGAATGATTCATAGTGACTGATTTTGGTGGTTTTAGGGAGGTTAAACATCTGCTAATAATATTCAGTTTATATCGCTTTAAATTTCATACAAAAACCTTGATTTTTATTGTGTTTGAAATGTCGAATTTTGTGTTAATCAAGCAGCATTTGCGGGAGGTTTTGATTTTCTGCTTTAATTGGAAGAAAAGTGCAGCTGACGCCCATCGAATGCTTGTCGAAGTTTATGGTGACACTGCTCCAACTGATAAATCATGTAGGAAATGATTTCGACGTTTCAAGGATGGAGGATTCAAGGATTTCAGCGTCGAAGACAACCCTCACTCTAGACAGCCAAAAAATTTCGAAGACAAAGAATTAGAGGCATTACTCGAAGAAGATCAAAGTCAAACGCAAGAGGAGCTTGCAGAATCATTGGGGATAACTCAACAAGTCGTTTCTGTATGATTAAGAGCCATGATTCAAAAACAAGGAAATTGGGTGCCTTATGAACTGAAAGACGATAGATGTTGAAAGGCGATTTTTCACTTGCGAACAGCTGATTCAAAGATAACAGAGAAAAGGTTTTTTGCATCGGATTGTGACTGGAGATGAGAAGTGGATATTTTACGACAACCCCAAGAAGAAAAAATACTAAGCCCGGTCAATCGTTGCCATCGACTTCAACATCAACACCACGGCCGAACATTTATGTTATGGTTCGAAGATCATATATCTGGTGAGACCAATCTTGTTTATTATGAGCTGCTGAAATCTGGCGATTCTATTACGGGCGATCGGTATCGGCTACAATTCGTTTGAGCCATGCATTGCGAGAAAAACGGCCGGAATACGAGCAAAGACATGATGAAGTTATTCTTCTTGATGACAACGATCGACCTGTCGCTAAAGTCGTAAAAAGATATTTGGAAACGCTCAAATGAGATGTTTTATCGCACCCGCTGTATTCTCCGGACATTGCTCCTTCTGATTACTGGTTGTTCCGAAGGATGCAGAAATGCACGATTTCGCAAGTCATCGATTCACTTCTTTCGCAGAAATCGAAAATTGGCTCCAAAATTGGATTGCCTCCAAAAACGAGTCATTTTTTCGAGATGGAATTCGAAAATTGCCTGAGAGATGGGAAAAAATAGTAGGCAGCGATAGACAATACTTTAATTGATCTGTTCATTCATTTTGTTTTGAAATAAATGCATTTTTGAACACAAAAAAAACGGACTGAACTAATTTGTACTCTCAATATAAAAAATAATGTTTGTATTTTTTGCAACCAAAATGACGCTACTGATGATAGAAGCTAGTACGTTTTTTTGGAGATGCTCCGAGCCTTGACAACTAGCGTCTATAAATTTGAACCTAGAGCAAGAAAAAATTTTTTTAAATCTACCTAGAGAAATGCGTAAAGATTTGTGAAAATATTAATATTTTCAAAAATGGCAGGCATTTGAAATCACACTTGCATTTTTTGCTAAAAAAATTTTGTGAAAAACTATTCATAAAATAAAAAGCTTTATAATTTAAAAATTTTATTTAAAAACTTTATTTATTTAAATTCATAATTTAAAAACTTAATTTAAAAACTTTTTATAATCGAAAAATGCTTACTTCTTTGCGGAATGTGTCTAAGTTGCAGTTAAAATTTGAACCCATTTGGATAGAAATCATTGAAATTATTTGTCAAGCCGATTTGAAAAACGTTGTTTTGAGAAAAACTGGTAGCGCTGTCATTTTAGATGCAAAAAATACAAAAAAAAAATTATTGATGTACTTTGATATATGCACTAAACAATGCTTTAATTTGATTTTATATTGCATTATTTTTTTATGTTAAAAACAATTGTTGAAATTATTGCTGTTTTTAGGACTGCTACTGTGATCATATCCCTTAAAAGGATGCTGAAATGACGATCGAACTTGATCGAAGTCGATAGTACAGACTTTTTTAAATTCCAAATTCGATAATAGTGACATCTTTTATTCATTTCTTGTATTTATTATATATCATTACGTCTCAAATGCATTTATTATATATCATTATTATATATCATTACGTCTCAAATGCATTTATTTGTCCTTATCTAACATATTATAACGCCATCTCTTGCAAGAATACTGCTAAACATTATTGCTTTGTTTATCATTCCAAGTCTTCGCTCAGCGTTGGTATACATGTCATTTGCAAATCGATATAAATCTTTCTTTTTAAGCTTTTAATTAATCTTATAGCGTATTCGATTTACTTGATCCGACTCCGAGTCAATGATCTATTCTGTTTAGCTACAAAAGAAAAGCTAACCAGTGCAAGAAATGCAACTAAAAAGAACATACTGTTAACTTGGAATCGGATTGAGATAGGTGTTACATCCGCAGTATCTTTCAAATATTGTCCAAATCATCCTTGGACAAACCACGAACATTTTATTACTTATGGTATCGATCGGCGCGTTACACGAGATCGCCAGGATCATACCTGACGCCTTCGCCACCACATGCGCTCTACATGGGCTAAAAAGTCCCGAGATTTTTAATGAAAACAAGCGTTTTTTGGGTAAAGTTATATTTATTCTTCAACATAGTTGCCTTCGAGGGCGATACATTTGGTTGCGCGATTTTCTAACATTTCGATGCCCTTTCTGTAGTACAAAACGTCCAAGCCTTCGAAATACGCCTCGGTTTCCGCGATGACTTCCTCATTCGATATGAACTCTCTTTCCCTGGAGCCACCGCTTGAGGTTTGGCAACAGATAATAGTCGCTGGGGGCCAAGTTCTGGAGAATACAGTGGGTGAGCAACCAATTCGAATCGTAATTGGTCCAGTTTGGCCATCGCTTTCAAGGACGTGTGTGATGAGTTATCGTGATGATACAGAATGAAGGCGAAAGTAGCGACACTTAAACGACTGTAGCTTGTAACAGAGCGACGACAGAAAGGGAAAGATCTTCTTTTGAAAGCTCTCGAGGTAGAAAAACAGTTAGTAATGGAAGCAGCGTCTTAGAGTCTGCCCTCAGGCGAAAGTTTTTCAAGTTCTCTTCCATTCGGCGAATCGTCTCTCTAGTTTTGCGCGCGGCGAAACATAATTCAAATTAGTCATAACTTATGGATCTGTTTCAATCTCTTTTAAAATCAAATCTAATTCAAATTCTAAATCTAAGTAATTCTGAACTTATACTAATATTAATCTTAATTTCTATTTTTAATATGTTATCCTAAATTTAATCTAAAAATGTAATCTCTATTTTGGCGAATTATAATTAATAAACACTTATCAACTGAATCTGAATGAACTTTTTCAACAAAATTCCCTTCTTAATTACTTTCTCACGTTCAATTCATACTAGTGATGACCTAATTAGCGAACTTAGACTATTGTACACATGAGAGCTACGAATCAACTAATCCGACGCCGAGTCTTGAACAGTAGGAAGTCTGAGAGCCTGCAACCCGTGTGCCGCAATCACTGAGATCATGAAGACCTTATCGTAAGGATAAGATATCATCACCTCATCGCATTTCGGTTACCGCGGATCGTGAACCCTGCGCATAGCATTTGTCCGGTGCATCTGCGTTTGCGCCCACCTTCCGGCACGGAATCCGTTAGAAACCAACCCTTACACTACATAGATACGTAGCGCATGCTGTGTATCTTCATTATTCTTTCGTCACACAGAAAATAGATTAAATGTCCCGAGTGCTACACTTCTTTATCTGTGATGAGAAGGAGAACTATTTCGGTCGGAGTATTGCGATATTACATCCGTTTAGGGTTTCCCAGACGATTCGAGATCTGCAACGAATGTTCCGTATCGCTGGCCATCGTATATAATTTCACGAGCTGCCGCGATTGCCCCGAAACTCTGAGGAAGTTTCTCGGTTATTTAAACAGGATGGGAAATACACCTTGGACCTCCACGGAACCGACTATCGTCGCTGTGTCGAGCGCGCAACTCTAGTTAATTCAAACTTTTAAATTGGACAAATTTTACTTCTGCGCTTCCGCCGACGCGAAACCTTACATCTTGCACCTACTGATAATCCCAGGTTTATTCGGATCTCAGTCAGCCGACTGAACCCTGGGATGTAACATGGGTAATCAAATACGCTATTAGTTCCATAAACTCAGTATTGTTTGTGCTGAACTGTCGTTTGGTCCATATAAATTATCAAACTTTTGTATTAAAGTTCCTGAATACTGAGCTAAGAACTGTGCGTTGATAGTAGCGACACAGAATCAGACGAAACCGATAGCTACACATTCAAGCGAGTTCATGTACTCTCCTTCGCGTCGAGAGTGAACGAGACAGCGAGCACCTTTTCACACTAGTCGCTTGTTTCCCGACCGAAAATGTTTTTTCAATAATCTCGGCCGCTTAGCCCTCGATATTAATAAGGGGCGATATTAGTAAGAAGCATTCTAAATAACATATAAGTTTTAATAAATTGTAATAATAATGTACCCTTTCCATTAATTCAGAATAGTATAAATCATGTTAAAATGCAACAGTTTACGACAGAGCCTTTCAAATCGGACACTGTGAGCCTTTAATCCCCTTGTTTCTTGACCGCTCGTGCTTATGCTTGCCCTCACTATGGGTCCAACGCTTCTCTATTCGTAACTGTGCACCGGCGTGGTGATTACTAATATATACACTGGAATGGGCATCGAGGAAAATTAG